AAACAAATACAATTAATTTGAATTGCCATATTGGCGCGAACATTCTCCCCCCTTGAAAGGACTAAGACCTTTCAAAAGGAGATATAACACACGAAATATAAAGAACAGAATTTAAGTAAACATAATGTTGATCAATTGCATAAAATAACTGCTGGAGTGAATAATAATAACAAACAGAATAAGCAGTAGAATGCTTGTAAAACAATACATTTTAAAGGGTCAATGAGTGAAGAGTTGTTATGCTGCATCCTCTTCCTCTTGATTGCTGGGCAGTACTGCAATTTTTACTACTGGACGCTGGAACTCCCTACCAGCCGAGTTAATGATAGTTACTACGCGAATGATGCCATCAGGTCCAGGATGAACTTTGGTGATTCTAACCATTTTCCACTGGAGTGTCGGTAGGTTGTCTTCCTTTAAAATGGCCAATGAACCGACTCTAATAGTGTCCTTTTTTGATAACCATTGACCTCTTTTGTGGAGTTGTGGAAGATACTCCGTGCTCCACCTTTTCCAAAAAGTTTGTGATTGCAATTTCACCAGCTCCCACCTTTTCACTCGATTAAGTGGAATTCCAGTACTGTCAGGCTCAGCTGGTTGCGTTAGACTTCTTCCTATTAAAAAATGAGCCGGGGTTAAAGGATTAAGATCGGATGGATCATCGGACATCGGTGATAGCGGGCGAGAATTCAATATGGCCTCTATTCGGCAAAGCAAGGTGTGCATTTCCTCGTACGTGAGAAGGCCCATTGCTGTTACCTTCAGCAAATGTCTTTTGGCAGATTTCACAGCCGCCTCCCAGAGACCACCAAAGTGGGGAGCGGAGGGGGGTATGAAGTGCCACTGAATCTTTAAATCGGAAAGAGAGTCTTCAATTGTGCGTTGTCCCTTGACTGGTGCAAAATATGAATGTAAGACCTTGTTGGCTCCTATGAAGTTTGTGCCATTATCGCTATAGATGTGACTACAAAGGCCACGACGAGATAAAAAACGCATTAGAGATGCTAGAAAGACTTCAGTAGTAAGTCCGCTAACAAGCTCTAAGTGGATAGCACGAGTTACAAAACAGACAAATACCGCAACATAACATTTGATGCTGACCACTCTACGTATCCCACTTCGGATCATGATTGGTCCACAAAAATCGACGCCGGTTTTGGCAAAGGGACCCTCGACATTGACTCTTTCAGGTGGAAGTGGTGCCATGAATGGAGCAGTCAGGGATGGACTGGAACGAAAACAAATTATGCAGCGCCGAACAGTCTGACTTGCAATAGCTCGACCTCGAATTGGCCAGTAACGAAGGTGAATGTTTGCCAGTAATCCTTGAGGGCCAATATGAATTAAACGCTTGTGTTCGTATTCAAAGATAAGTCTTGTGATTGTACCTTTTGCTGGTAGTACAATTGGGCATTTGCTGGTGTATGCAATGTCAGCGTTGATGAGTCTGCCTCCAACTCGCACTTGACCATCCTGGTCAATAAATGGGTTCAGTGTACGCAACGCACTACGACGTCCAACAGGCCTACTGGACTTAAGTTCGGCAATTTCTGGTGCAAATGAGATGGACTGCATTTTTCGCAGCAACACTGTGGCGGCATTGGATATTTCAGTTACACTTAGTGAATTTAATAACCGGTCAGAGATCAACTTAGTGCGAGCATTGTGGCAAAATCTTAGAATATATGCGGTAATTCGGTTCAATCTAGACCAAGAAGAATATCTTTCTTCGAATTGACATTCTGATGACTGACTCACTACAAGAACTGGACGAACTATTCTTACTTCAGGTAAATCAGTATGGATGACATTATTAGACGGCCACAGGTCCTCAGCCTGGCTCAACCACTTGGGACCGTTCCACCAAAGTTCATTTGACAAAAGTGATTCAGCTGAGCATCCACGGGAAATTACATCTGCAGGATTGGTGGCCGTTGGTACATGACGCCATTGTGTGGGTTGGGTTAGATCCAATATTTGTGCTATCCTGTTGGAGACATAGGATTTGAGTGGTTTGTCACTATTGATCCAGTATATGACAATAGATGAATCAGACCATAAGATTACATTACTAGGGTTACAATGAATCTTGATACGTTTTAGTTCTCTCATAACCATGCTGACCAGTTCTGCTAAAAGAAGGGCTCCGCAAAGTTCCAATCGTGGAATTGTGCTGGGCTTCAGTGGAGCTACTCTGGACTTAGAACAGTATAGTTGACATTGCGATGTGGTAGTTGATCGAAAGTAAATACAAGCACCAAAAGCATTTTGTGATGCATCGCAGAAACCATGCAGTTGGACTGATGTGGTATTATCAAATGGAACGCGACGCGGTATTGATAACTGCTCCAAGAACTTGAGACTTTGATAGAAATTGGTCCACTTGGTTTGGAGTTCAGTGGACAGTGGTGTATCCCAGTTCAACTTTGAGGACCATAACTGTTGCATAAACATTTTTCCTCGAATCAGGGCAGGTGTTAGGAATCCTACTGGATCATAAACACTGTTTATGTTGGATAATAGTGTTCTTTTAGTCATGTGAAAAGGTCTTGACAAATCCTTAAAAATGAATTTGAAACAGTCATTACTTGGTTGCCAAGTGAGACCTAGTGTGCTAACAGTATCTTCTTCATTGATAGACAACAGATAAGTAGGATCTCGTTCCGGAACTGACATTTTCGACATAATTGATTTTGAGTTTGAGCACCACTTGCGAAGGGGTAGGCCAGCCTTGTCAAGTTCATTAGATAAATTTTGAAAAAGTTCATAACACTCAGTTTCGTCTTGACCGCCACTTAGTAAGTCGTCAACATAAAAATCTTGTTGAATAGCGCGCTGGACTGCATGATTTTTGACATTGTAACTTAGCTCAAGTAAACAACGAGTGGCAAGAAATGATGCAGCTCTGGTACCGTAAGTGACAGTTAAAAGCCTATAGTCTTTCAATGGTTCAGCAGGACTTTCTCTATAGCATATTCTTTGAAAATCACAATCTTCGGGAGAGACCCGTATCTGCCTGTACATTTTGGCTATGTCTGCAGTAAGAGCAATTTTGTGGATTCGAAATCTCAGAATTATAGAAATTAAATCAGGTTGCACAGTTGGTCCACATAGTAGAATGTCGTTGAGACTGTGCCCGGATTTAGATGTAGCAGAACCATCAAAGACTACACGCATTTTTGTAGTTAAACTGTTGGATTTGAACACTGAGTGATGCGGAAGATAATATGTGGGGCAATCAGTATCTTGAGCCTTCTCCATGTGGCCCAATTCAAGGTACTCATTCATGAAATCCTTGTAATCTGAAGCAAGTGAAGGGTTTTTTAACAATTTGCGTTCTAGATTGTAGAAACGTTGCTGTGCCATGAATCTTGAATCACCTAAAACTGATGGATCTTGAATAAACGGTAATCTTACCACAAAGCGACCACGATCGTCACGAGAAACGTTATTTTTAAAATGATCTTCAGCCCATGCCTCAGATGATAAGTTGTTCGAGCATGATTGGGCAATGAGAGCTATAGCTGACTGATTGCTATGACGTAGAAGAAAGATTTTTGATAGTGGTTGCACATTATTGATTTGAGTTGATCCAGTAAAAACCCAACCAAGATTGGTGTTGTGAAGTGTTACAAGTGGACTAATCTTCATACTTTCACCAATTAGCAATTCATAGAATATCTCTGCACCAAGTAGAATATCAATTGAAGCTGGTTCATTGAAACGAGGGTCGGCTAAACAGCTACTAATAGTGTGTGGAATATGTAGTGGTTCCATGTCAATACGGTGAGTGGGCAAGCTGTTAGTAATCGAATCAATTACATGGAAGTTAATGAATGCTTCAAAGTCATTAAGTCTTGAACACATTGTAGTACTTATCATTGTGCCTGTTTTGGCAGATACCGACCCGATACCTGCTATCGATAGCGAGCTTTTAACAAGACTGATATTTAATCTTGATGCGCACTCCTTTGTTATCAGACAGACTTGAGACCCAGAGTCTAAGATGGCACGACACTGAACTTGGTGGCCAGCTGCATTTGTTAAATTGATCAGTGCAGTAGCTAATATTATTTGCTTCTTTGCAGTAGAATTGTTGTTACCATGTTCAACGTACGTTACAACAGATTGGTTTTGTGTAGATGGTGACTGTTCATTCGCTGAGGCAGGAGGGATAAATGGGGCATCACTATGCAACTTAGTGTTGTGTCGT